CCAGAATGAACGCTTTCTATCTCAAACCTTAATTCTAATTGGTCTAAATTCCTAAAAGGCTGGAGAGTAAGTGGCAGGCTAGCAGCCCGAAGGCCACACTTCTATATAAAAATAAATATAAAACTGCTGATAGAAAAATACAATGCTTACTCTTCCACATAGAAGCAGTACTGCAAGCTAATTAAATCTGGTTTGTCACTAACACACGTTTCTAAAGTTTGATTTCTGAATTCCTGTATAGGAAATTTAAGTTAGCTGCTAATACATGTGAGGATTTTTTTCCTTTTTTAACCAATCTATTGTGATCAGTTTGAGAAGTCCATCAGCAAATAGGGGCCTGTGAGGCACACATTTCAAACCATAACTGGTAAGTGATGCAGAATCAAAGCAAGAGAGAAAGGATAGGGGTTCCTCAGCAAAGAGGCGTGACAGCTGAGCTGTTTATCTTCAGTATGAAATTCAGAGCATCTTCAAGCAGTTTTCGCTTTCTATGCAAGTCTTGAGGAAAAGTTTTGGTTGGTGCTGGTCATTCAACAGTCGTCACAAACAGAATGGTGCACAAATTTACAGGAACATGTAATAGTGCTCAAGTCACCATTCCCCTGCAAGAAGGGTATGGTAAGACTCCATTCTCCTTTATCTTGTAATCACCACACAATTAGCCAAAGAATCCAGTTTACATAGTTGATTTTGCTCTGAGCTACTGTTTCCGATGGGAACTCAAGCTTCGCCAGTGGAAAACATGGTTTAGTCTACTGGACAAATAGTTACCTCCTAAGGCTGAGTTGTACTCGCCCTGCTGGTTGGACTTGTTACAGTGCTGTGGCCTCAAAGACTAAACACACAAAGGCATTTTTGAAGCTCTCAAGAAGAATGACTCTTCTGAGCTTTAATTTTTAAGCCCCCAATACTTATCATCTGCTTTCTAGGCTGCTGGCAGACAAGCTTGTGTAAACTTGTTATGCTTCAGTAATCTCTCAGTTCATAGGAGGCAGAAATGGGAACAGCACAGGGGAAGCAACTAGAAAATGGGTTGACAATTCTGCTTCTCCAAGTCTTGCCCAGACCCAATTTTTTTTTTTTCCCCCCTCTCCCTTTTCCCAAGTCAGGATAAAATGTTTTATTTTGCCTTTTCATCCCCCCACTGAAATATCATCATAGGAAATTCAGTGACTAGATCAATATTTCAGTCTCATCATGGGAGTTATTAATGAAATATTGATTTTTTTTCTTTTTCAAAATTGGTGCTGCTTTTTACATAAATCTGCTTAAGAAGAGGATTATGTCAGAATGCTCTGGAAACCACATTTGTTGTCAATAAATTCACTGTGTATTTTCCTCCCTGTATATTTCCAAACCTATATGTTAAAGATCTATACTGTAACATTAGCAACTGTACAGCAGATGACCTTGGAGTCATGCCATAAATAGTAAAATAATAACTTGTTTTCTTTTCTAATTTCAGGGAGAAGATAGCATACTTCACAAGAGCAAAGATCAGTATACCAGCCCTTCCAGCTGATGATGTATAATTATGTATTTTCATTGAAGTGTTTTTCCACTTGCTCATCTCTTTTCAGATGAGCTTTGTAGTTCCAATGACCTGCTTTTAAAGATCTTCTATTTTACATTCACTATTGATATGTTTGTTTGTAAAATATAGTAAATTGAATTGTTGTATGCTTAAAAAACAGCAAAAAAACCCAACAACCGGAAAACCAAAGTAGATTAATTTTGGTATACTGATGCTGATTTTGTACAGTTTGTATGTATTGCGTGTGTTTTTATTTTGTAAAGATGGAACAGAGGAACAAAGGCAGTACTAAGCATGTATCCTGTTGAACCGCACTGTGTTGAGAAATATTACGTTCAACAGAAGATTGTTTATCTTTTCACTATTTTCATGTGAGCCGACTGTGAAGATGGCTGTTTTGCCATGCAATATTTTTGTACAAGAGTGTGACTTTTATAGTTTAAAGTTAACCACAAGCGTAAGCTCCTTTCCAAATCATCAAGGCTGCCTCACAACAGCTGCTAATTAGATTCATCACCCACATTGGAATTTTGTTTCTGAAAACAAATTTCTTCTCTTTTTGTTTTTTAATACTTTGTAGGAAGAGACGGAGTTCAGAGTTTAGTTTTGTGAATGTACAGTACTTTAACCTGCACTAAAAGGTTTCTTGCATCTGCGGGAGAGTGAGAAAGGCAAGGCAGACAAGTAACCCTAAAAACTTCTTATGAGACTACCAAAAGGGGCAGCTGCTTTCTGAACTGGAAGCTGAATCAAATTCATGATACCAACATTGAAATTGGAATAGTTATATCCACTGTACACTTAAAAATGAGAGTTTCTCTATGTCAATCTTTTGTCCTAGAGGCTGTCTTATTGCCAACTAGGAATAAGTAAAAGTGTTTGTTAGGTACATTAAAGTATTTGTACCAGAAGAAAAATCTGTCACATACAAACTCAAGTATCAGAAGTCTTGTTGGTAAGGTAAACCCTTTCTGAAAAAGAAAAGTTCCTGACTAGAAGTCTTCACATATTTCAGTACAATAAATAACATTTTTAAAAATACACAATTGACCCTGTATGCAGTTGAGAGTTTAATAAGTAGATGTGAATGGTGTGTTTCAAATTTGTCTTAGATGAAGCAGTCTGCTAGGAAGCATCATCAGACTTGGATTCATTCTGTAAGAAGTCCAGAACATTAGATGTAGGTGTCCAAGCAGCCCTGTCTTGGTAAAGCAGTTGGGGTCTTATCTTCTGTGGGTACTATGTAAGTAGGTGGACATTGCAGCTAATATAATTATTTCATTTTCTACTTAATATGTTGCACTCAGATGTATTTAATTCACTGGCTAACATTTTCTTCCCCAAACAGCAAGCCACATATGCATGGACTTCGTCTTTCAAAAAGGCTATAATTACTTGCTGAGAAGATGGAAGCAAATATACCATAATATGGTATCAGCTGTCTCAAATTCAAAGTGACAATTCTGTGATGAGGGGTCTGTGTAACACCCAAGGGTTTTCTTATGCACAAACACATTAGTTCGCTTAACTGTATAGCCAAACGTGCTATTTTGGGCAAGATGACTGATTGAACATCCTTTATGAATGCCCCATTTGTTTTTTGTTTCTTGGGTTTGAAATAACATTGATGTTTGAAAGGTCAATTTTAAAAAAAACAAATCTGGAATTATTTAATGTAGAGGTGAAATGAAGGTTGACAGTTTCAACTTCTCAATTTGATTATATAAGTTGTTTGTAGAATGATGTTTAGAGGTGTACTTTATGATTTTTCTTTTATTTATTTACAGTCTTATTTATGTTCTGTTTAATATAGTTCAGTTCTGGCCATAAAAATATTTGACATTAAGGATGCTATTGTGAAAAATATTTAGAGCTGTCTGAATTCTTGCCAGATTAACTGTTTCTCCACACAAGTTGAATAATTTTCAAAAAAAGTATTATGTCTGATTTGTAAGCATGGGGTGAGGTCAAAATTAAAGTATTACTGGCTTTAGCTTGCAAAACTGATTTAAAAATGAGAGACTTAAACATATTCATGCTCCTCATTTTCCAAATCGGTAAAGTTGAACATATTTATAGGCAGTTTTTAACAATTCTGGGTTTGGAGTTTTGGGGGTTTTTTACTAATTCAGATTATTCACACTTGAAACACTCAATAGAATAAGCTAAAATAATACATACAAATAAACCCCCATCAGTTTAAAATTCTCCTGAAGTGGAATTTACTCTGCACAGCAGGGTATAACGAATGTAATTAGTTCTATTTCCAGGTACCAATGTCACTGCAGTTGCATATATCAAAATCTAAATATTACTGGTACAAGAATATTTAGCCAAATGAGCAAAGTTTAGCAGAAACTTTAATAGAACACGAATCAAATTATTTTAAGTTTGGGTTTGTTTTTTTTTTTTTTACTATTGCTATGTTTATACTGTATTAAATATCAAATGCTCAGGACTGAACTAAATATTTAATCAGGTTATATTCTGAATGTGTTTCTGTTCTAATTTTGTCTGTAAAAGTATGCAAATACATCACATAGATTAACTTGTCTCTGCACTTTCCGTGTGTTTCAGTGATTGGAAAATACATTTTTTAACAAAGCTCTTTTCCAGACCAGTGTTTTATTTAATTCTTTTATTGCTGTTCTATGTCTTTATATGCTCTTTGGAGAAACAAATGGCTGCTACAGCTTTGTCAATGTAAAATCATTGCAATTTATAGAAAGTTCACATCAATCACTGACAAATCTTAGGGTAAGTTATATAGAAAGTGATTCATATGCTTGAAGTTAGTTCTTTACATTCATTAAGTGAAAACTGCAATAGCAATGAACACGGTCAACTCTGCACTGGACAAGATCTCATCATTATTCAAAAATACTGGCTTTCCTTAAGAGAGAGATCGTGCAGGGGTACAGTCAGTCATCTATTCACAGACAGGATGGAGAATCTTGGTATTACATGACATTATGTCTGAGAACATTTAGTTTATACTAGGGTAAATTATATAGGTCCGGGGAACTTCATTCAAGGCTGTACTGTATTAGGTGTTTGTAATGCATGTTGAACTGGCACTACAAACTCTTTCAGGACTTAAACTAATATTATTTTTGTAAAAAAGACATTGTTTAAACCAGTTCTGTCATTTAAAAGATGGTCAACTCTCCATGCATGCCTAGAGATTAAAAATTTTATGCTCGCTTATCCTAAAAAAAAAAATAAAACTACAAAAACAAAATCTGCAATTGATAAGATTTTTGGAGAAATACAGTGGTGGCTTAGTCAGATCTCCCTAGCTCATCAATTAATGTAATTAAAATTGAAGGTAAGTAGTGATTAAAGGAACTACTTCGTAAGAAACAATCCCTCCCCCCAACCTTGTAAACAGTAACCTGTCTGTTCAACAGACCTTTCTTACTGTAATGCAAGAGTAAGAAATCTGAAAACCTGATATCTACCCTTTTTAAAGTCTTCTATTTCCAATTTCCAGATGTTGATGTGTGTCTTGCATATCTGCCATTGCATACTGCTCTGGTAATTGATGGTCAGATGATAAGCAGATTGTGGAGAGGAGTAGAGATCCTCCTAGAATTATAAAAAATCCACCAAACCAACCACTGTACAGTGCATCCCCTATTTCCCATCTGGGCACAATCTCTGGGATGTCTTCATCCCAAAATTCCTGGATTATCGTATGGGCAACCCAAGAAACAGGGACTAAGGCCAAAACTCCAGACATCCACAGGAGTATTCCTCCAAGTAGTAACAGCTGTTTCTTTAGCTTCTGCTCCATCTTTAGGCAGTCCAAACCAAGACTAGAAATCACAAGGCTCAGAAGTCCTAGTCCGTTTGATGTAGATACTAAAATCCTGGAAATCTTGAATTCTAGAGGCAAGGCTAGGAAGGAATCAAAATCTTTACACTGCGTTCCTCCTACGTCTTGGACTATACAGGTTTGCCAGAGTCCCATGGTCCAAAGTTCCAGTATGTTTAAGTCTAAGTTGAGATTTTTCCAGTCTGGTAAATAGTTACAGGTACCAGTTAAAATCCATCCTAGTACAGACAACAAAAATCCAACTAACTGTAGCCTGTGTCTGTGGACCAAATTCATTGTTAGCAGTCACAGAAGCGCTAACCTGCTCACTTTTGCGGACACTGTTCTGCTCAATTCTTTGTCATACTGAACATAAGCAAAAGTTAAAACAATGCTTTATAAAGCATGACATACTCCTCCCCTTCCTGCTTTGTCTTGCCTGGTTCCACGTGCAGCGTGCGGGGGATTGGGAGGTAGCGTGGTAAACCAGGAGCTGAAGGGTGTGGCCACAGCTGGGCTCACCTTTCATTAGTTTTGGTTTTGTGGTTTTTTTTTTTTTTTTTTTAAGGATAGCATATACTTTGCTTTCCATCCATCTGCTAAAGCATTACAGCAGTTCTGCTAGTTTTGTCATCTCACAGTTTGTTTTTAAATTAAGTTCTAATACTATATTGGTACACTTCTACTTACAGCAAATGAAGCTGTCTGCTTTGTGGCCAGTTAAATACCATTTGTTTAAAGTCAAGGGTTACACGTTCAGAACAACATGTTGCTGTAAGTGAATGGAGCTTAAGGAGCCTTTGATAGGATGCATAATGCCTCAATACCTGTATCGGAAGAAGATAGCATAAGTATTTTTTAACGCAGCATTTCTCAGCCTATTTTGGTGCATAAAGTATGCAGGTGCCAGAAACACTTAGAATAACTTGTATGGGCAGCCTTATGTGCTAGACCGGGCAAACACAACTTACTGGGTATGAAGCGCCCACCCCGTAACACCCCATGCACAAAAAGACATCTGTAAGGCTTGCTAGAATTTCAGAAATCTACAGTTTCCTTAGCATAACAATTTCCAAGTACACAGAAAAACAATTTGATGCAATGCATGTATTTAGGCTGCTTAGGATGTGAAAACTCTCGAGTTTGTACGTCACTGCATTAGGCAAGTGGAAAATTGCAACAGGGAGTCAAGCTTTGAGGCTCATTTAATTGGTTACATATGAAAAGGAAACATTTTTTGGTTAAAAGCCAAGCTGTAAGTGAACATGCATATTCATTTTCAGGATTTTACAGTGCACTTGAGAAAGCAAAAGCACCTTTTCTGCGCAGTCTGTGAAGACTTCAGCAGTCTGCTCTGAAACAAAGTCTTAAATAGTTTGCAGGTGAGGAAACACACCACCTTCCAATACCAGTTACGGAGAAAACAGACATAAGTTTAGGAAATGAGCTAGGTTACAAAGAGTCCTTTGAATTGCTACTGGAACAAGCTTCTGGCTTGCACTAGGGTTTGAAAAAGATAGGGCATTCCTTCTGTACTACCTAAAACCTTCCATTTTAAGGCCTAGTTTCAGTTTCCAAGTGTTGACACTGATCTTGCTGTTCTGCTACTGCGTAATGGACCGAAGATGGATGGACTTCAGTTGAACAGATTGTGCAATTAAGTAGGGATCCTCCTAATATAAGACAAAATCCAGCAAGCCAGCCAACAAATAACGCTTCCCCAAAATCCCACCTGGGAACAATATCTGGTATATTCTCATTCCAAAATTCCTGGACTGTGGAATGAGCAACCCAAGAAACTGGGACAAGAGCTGCAATCCCCGATATCCAGAAGAGCATTCCTCCAAACAGCAACAGCCGTTTCTTTTGTTCCTGTTGTCTTTCACGAATTTTCAAACAGTCCAACCCAAATCCCGAGAGCAAGAGGCCCAAAAGCCCCGATCCATTGGAAAAAAACATCAAAATCCTAGAAATCCTGAGCTCTGGAGGCAAAGCTAGGAAAGAATCGAAGTCCTTGCACTGCATTCCCCCTTCTTCCTGGACAACACAAGCTTGCCAGAGTCCCATGGTCCAGATCTCCAGTTCATTCAGTTCCAAGTTAAGATTTTTCCACTGGGGTAAATAGGTAGTGAGACAGGACAGGACCCATCCCAACAGAGAGAACAGTATGCCACTTAATTGCATCATCGGTCGATAGACCAAGGCCATTATAAGAGCAGAGTCCTCAAAGCTTGAGGAGGAAGGTCTCCCCAGCAGCTCTGTAACAACTGCTACCTTGAGTGATGGTGCAAGCTATGATGACTTTAGTTCTCTGCTGCCCCAGATATAAGCCCTTGCTGTTAACCCTTTGTAGGCTCTGAAACACTTTTTTGTTCTTCACGAATATAAAGTTTCACATAAAGGACGAAGGACTTCACTAAACCACGAGTTAGTCTTTCCGATAAGGATTTGATCTGTTACCTTCCAATTTGCTTGGTAAAATTATATCCCAATGCCTGATGATTACAAGCCTGAGGATGAACAAAGAGGGCTCTATGACCCCTCACCCTAAAACACAACGGAAATCTTTGTGCTTCAATACGGATTAATTAGATTTTAAGTGGTGATAAAAAGTTAGCTCTGTGTGCAACAGGACTTCATTGTAATAGCTAAATTTGAGATTTCAGGGATGTAAATCAAGGCCTTGTAAAGAAAGGTAGACTGTTTGCCTATAATCTTTATTCTTAGACTTCCTCAACATACATAATGGCTTATCTTCCACTGCCCTGTTTTATGTCCCCAGCACTGTAAAAGACGCTTTGTAAAAGATCCTTATGTTTCACATTTTCTACATTCATTTCTTTTAAAATGGGCTTTGTTTTGACTGACTCTTAAGGGGAAAAGGAGACGGCTATGGTGAAAGTACCATAGAAAATGAAATCCTAGACATCCCTCCACCATAATGAACCCAGGCAGATCATCAGCCAGCATAAACTTTACCTGCCCCAGGACTTCAGCAACACTATGGTAGCAGCTTACACCAGCTCAGTGTCCCCTTTCCTAGAGCCCATGTCCCAGGTGGCACAGAGTGTATACACTTAGTGTCTAACAACATTTGGCACTCAATGCTCTCAGGGCCAGGAATGCTTAGTACCTTTCTGATCAAAGCAAGATACCTTTATGCCATTACCCCATTAGGAAACCTTGCTTTTTTCCTGCTCTCATGTCAGCTACACTTGTGCTTGCCTACAGGGTCAGCGAGGAGAACATTTGCCTGCTATTCCCCTCCACAGGTGTAACAGCACAGCCTGCGCGGGAGGGAGCTGAGCAGTGGGAACACATGCACACACGTGTGAGCCAGAGATGTTTTCCAGTCTTTCTTGACTTCATTTCCTAGAAGCGATAATGTGCCCATCCGCATATTCTAATTCGCAGTTGCTCAAAATGGGTTGTCAGGTGATGGAAAAACATAAGACTGCTTCTGAAGGTTTCCAAAATCCTGAAGGGTATCATTAAGAAATTCCACTGTGAGAAGATACCTTCTTCCTCATTTCTGTATTGAGTCTTAATTTCTAACCCTTGTGTTTTTCCCGTCACAAGCTGTAAAGAGCCAACACAAGGAAAGATGATCTATTTCTCTTTTGCTTGTGTACCAACTCAGTCCAACGGCTTACACCTGGTCAAAAAATTACCACACACAAGAGCAGGAACCACCAAGGATATTACTGACAACACTGGGAACAAACTGATGCAAGCAAGGCTCTAACTTTGGCCATCCCCTAGGCAAAAGACCAACCCTGCATTCATTCAAACTCCAGATTGTATTTTCAGATTTGGCGGTGTTGTTTCTCTCCCTTTCTCTGTTCAGAGCAAGAATGCTAGTTCTGGAAATCATCATGACATTCAATGAGAAACTCCATAATGCCATTTGAATAGTTTTTCAGATAAACAACTACACTTCAGCAGTGCTTCTGCTCATTCAAGGGCTACATGCTTATTTGACTTTAAAATCATGGTTACTGCCAGACTATTACTGCAAGCCTGTTGCGCTTTTCTTGTCTGTGAACATTTAACATTTTCTTCTCTGCTCTTCATTCCAACAGTCAGTACAGTGTGAGAGCACAAGATCACGCATGTGAAGTCCATTCATTTTGCTAATGTTGACCACAGCTGGAGCAGTATGCCAGCCTATAAATTTTAGCGATCAGAAGCATTCAGACTGCTGCATCAGTAGGATCTGCCAATTAAGTTCTGCAACTTACTATTAACCATGCACTAACTTAGAGCAAGCAAAGCTTCCTTGTACTATCCTGTGCAAGATTATAAAAGAATCCTTGTTCTTCCAGTGGGAGGGGGAATCGGGGGGAAGGTAAGACTTGCCTTGTCGCCAGGATAGTAACGAGGTCTGAAATGCCTTTACTTGGAGCTTACTGATCTTACAAAAATCTCAGCAAATGCATAAATAAAAAAAGATCTTCCAGCTGAACTGAGATACGTAAATTCTCGGGTCAGTAACTGCCTTAGTTCTATCTCCCCTTGTCCTTCTTTCACACTTTTCCTCCCCACCGTTATTTCTTTCTTTCTCTCACATCTAAAAATGTCTCATTCCCAGAATAATTTTATATTGGTAGACTGTGCTAGTTTTGGCTGGGGTAGAGTTAATTTTCTTCATAGTAGCTAGTATGGGGCTACGTTTTGGATTTGTGCGGAAAACAGTGTTGATGATAACACAGGGATGTTTTGGTTACTGCTGAGCAGCGCTTGCACAGAGTCAAGGCCTTTTCTGCTCCTCACACCGCCCCACCAGCAAGTAGGCTGGGGGTGCACAAGAAGCTGGGAGGGGACACAGCTGGGACAGCTGACCCCAACTGACCAAAGGGATATTCCACACCATATGATGTCATGCTCAGCATATAAAGCTGAGGGAAGAACATTCAGAGTGATGGCGTTTGTCTTCCCAAGTAACCGCTCCGCGTGATGGAGCCCTGCCTTCCTGGAGATGGCTGAACACCTGCCTGCCGATGGGAAGTAGTGAGTGAATTACTTGTTTTGCTTTGATTGAGCATGAGCAACTTTT